TGCTGTGGGCGCCGCTGCCGAGCCGCGCAGGTAAGGGCGCCGAGGCCGGGGAGCGGGGCCGGAGCGCGGGGGGCGCTGTCACCCGGGCGCTTGACGCCGCCTCCTCCGCGCCTGGAGAACTTTCCCCGGGCCTGTGGAATGCACGACCGAGCCGGCGAATGCCATTCGTCGGGGGCCCGGAGAGGGAGACGCCAACCCAGCGCAGTCCCCTCCCCAGGCGCGCGGCTGGGTGGGGCTGTCGCCCGCCGAGGAAGGCCGCGTGTGCGATCCGCCGCAGGGCTTGTCCACGCGTCTGCGAGGCGGGCAAACTTTTGTCCCAGGACTTGGCTTGTTCTGTCCCACATCGCGGGCGGCCAGCTCCGCCCCGCACAGCCCACAGCAGAGGGGCCTCTACCAAAAGCCGGGAAGGGTCGCCCTCTAGAGTCTCCGCCCGTCCATTTGGCCGCCCCCCCCCTCGGGGGCAGAGGGGTACCCGCAGTTTGGGCCCCTAGCCCTGGGCTTCCCCGGAGCAGCCCTTCTGTCTAGGCTGGCGCTGTTCTTTCCCAGGGGACAGACAAGGTTTCTTGGGGTCCTGGCCAGCTCAGTGTTGAGGGGTGCTGGGGAGTCCTGTAAGGGTTCCCGTTCCCACTGCAAATCTCCTGATCCCAGGGAGAGAGGCAGTTTTCCTTGGAGTCACTGCCCAAAGATGGGGTGCCTGGAGTACAGCAGGAGATGGCCTTGGAGTTGGGCCGGATGGTTCAGCTGATGCCCAGGTGCAGGACCCCCTGGCCGGAGCAGGGTGGGCCCTCAGAAGGAGCCTTGCTTCCCAGGGAGAGTGGGACCGCTGTCTCTGCCTGGGTTTTGCTGTTCCAGCTCCTGGACCAGCTTTCCTGACAGCAGCAGCGTTCCAGACCATGGGGGCATTTCAGGCCCTCCGGCATCAGAGCCCAAAGCCACTCAAAGTCCCCTAGCTGCCCACTGATAGGAGGGGGAGGGTGAAGGCCCAGCGGGCAGAGGGATGAGTGCGTGGGGGCTGTGATCAGCTGGACCCGCCTGCCTTCGTCCAGCGGGAGGGCTCTGCTCTCCCCTTGGTGATTTGGAGACTGGGAAGAATCACTTTGCTTCTTCCACTTGCCATTAAAATGCTCTGTTCCTTTTTCCCTGGCACAACTGGTGCTTGGTGGGCTTTAGCGAATAAGCAGCGGTCTTGGGGAGGCGGCCCCTGCACCCAGTGGGAGGAGAGAGGGGCCTGGCCTGGGTCCTGGGTTCTGGGATTTGGCCTTGTGTTTCTCTGGGGGTCACTTGCGGGTGAGGAACAAGAGAAGCCCCAGGTAAGTGGTAGGAAGAGTGGGTGATGTGGTCAGGGGACCCGTGGCTGTGCGGGGACTTGGCCTGGGGCTCGCCAGTGTCTCTGGAAGAAATCCCATGCCAGGCTGCACCGCTGGCTTGCCTGCCCATCTCCGTGGGCCCTGCCTTGCCCCCCCACTCTCTGATGCCCCGTCCTGACCGAGGCGCAGCTCCAGGGGAGGGAAGCGGTGTGGCCCAGGTCGTGGCTGTGTCTTTGGACACTTTGCTTTTGTTGAAAGAGGTTTGGAAGCCTGTGAAGAGGTTACTTTCGTGGACGTGTTTCACAAACCTCTCCCCACCGCACAGGGTGGGACCCGTTTTGAAGTCATCTTGCGTGTGCGGCCAACTGGGGGCGGCTGTCCACTGCACATGCCGGGGAGGCGGGCGAGGCCAGCGGCCAGCAGGCCCCCGGCTCTGTCCCCGTCTTGGGATGTGCCAGATGTTTTCCGAGTTCTCTGAGAATGCAGCCCTTTCCCCTACCTTGCTCTCGGCCAAGCGTGGGAAGAAGTGAAAGCTTCGGGTGCACCCCGAGCTGCTCGACGTCGCTGTAACAGGGAAGGAGCATCTGGGAAATGAAACGTGACCCCAATATTTGGAAATTGAGGTCATCTCCTCCACACGCCATTGGTGGGCTCCAGGCACGTGGTGGCTTTCTGCAATCATTTGCAGGGAGAGTCGGCCAAGTTTTGGGAGACTTGACAGATAGCAAATGGTTAAGTTTCCTCTGACTCAATCGAGTTGGCTGCAAAGACATCCTTTCCATCCTCCTCCCTCCCTCCCCATAAAAGAACAAGCCAGCGGGAGGCAGCTGCGGCCAGGAGAGTCCCCAAGAAGCCCTCTCCCGGCCGTCCACGTTTCCCTGCCCAGGGCTGCAGTTGTGGTTGCCGCCCGCCCCAGGCCGTGGCCGCCAGCTGTGGCCGGCGGGCGTGCCTGCCTGGTGCCCGGCTCGCAGCCTGTGCTGTGTGATGTCGCCCAGGCTTTTCCTGGGTGCTGGCCAGCGCCGGGCCTCCACCCGCCCTTGGGATATTTCTGGACACTCCCCGCCGCCACGCCCTTTGCCTGCACAGCTGATGCTGCCTCTGTACCCCCTCGCCTCCTCCCCAGGGTGCAGACTTGGGCGGGTGGAGCAGGGTGCGTGAGGGTCGGAGCGCACTCCACAGCAGGGACCGGGGTGAGAGTGGACCAGTGCTTAGAGCGCCCCAGGGCCAGGGATGAGTCACCCCCCACACACGCACACACGGTGTTTGCTGCATTTTGAGGAGGAGCCTGAGGCGGGACAATCCCGCTGGGGATTCGTTTGCTGGCACTTGCCTGGCCAGTGGTGAGCGCTCACACAGGCTGAGATGGACAGAGGCGCAGCAGTCTCCAGCCCGGGGTCCCAAGCCCTCTGACTCTGTGCCAGGGCCCTGAGGGAGTGGCTGTCCTGCTGGCACGAGTCTCCTGACTCTGGATGGTCGCCTGGTTCACATCTGGTTATCAGCTCCCCCTGGGAGAGGCCCGGTGCCTGGCTGTGTTCAGGCCCGGGGCCAGGCCCAGTGGGCTCTGGAGGGCGGGGGTGCCTCCAGCCAGCAGAGGCCCTGGACCTCCTTCCCCCTCCTCCCTGTCTCCCTGCCCCCTCCTTCCCTTTCTGTACCCCAGTGCTTCAGCAGGACGCGCCAGATGTCCCTGGGGTCACCCTAACCTGCCTGACCCCTGGGGCTTTGCCTTTGCCCCTGGCCTGAGAGACAGTGGGGAGACAGTGGTGAGTGGGTTCCCTGGTCCCACCGAGCAGTGGACATCTTTGTGTGACTCAAGGCCCACGTGGACCTGCTGAGTCTCTGGGGCCCAGCTGGGAAGGTGAGCTGCCTGCGTGACCGGGGGCTCTCTGGAGGAGGTGGGGTAGACCGGCCTGGCCTCCTTCACTCGCCTTTCGGTACAGGGCCCAGGACCCTGCGAGCGGGGCTTTCACGTCTGGTTTTAATCTCGCCCTTGGTCCTCTGGCAGGACATTCCAAACTCTGTCCCTGCTTCCCTTGGCTGGAAAGCCCCATGCCTGTCTTCCCTGCGGACTCTGTGCCAGGTGAATGCAGGAACCCCTCAAGAGGAACAAGGGAGCCCCCCAAAGCTCTGCTGTGCCCCCATCCCCCAGGAAGGGAGGTGGGGCCTGGCCTGGTGAGGGCCAAGTGACAGGCCGTGGCCTCAGCCTGGGGCGTGGGGGCCTCTGGGGACGGCTTTGGAAGGGACACGTTCGGTGATCGCACAGCTGGATTGCAGGAGTGGCTGGGGCTGAGTTTCCGCTTCCTGAAAATGGGGAGAGTTGCGCTCGTGCTGTGAGGGGTGCTGTGAGGACCGAGTCTGAGCGGCGCTGATGAACGGGCCCCTTGCTTGCTGTGGCCGGAGTCACGGTCATTTGTGAAAGGGAAGAGCACAGAACTCCCGCGGGCCTCACTGGGTGTCGGGATTCCAGGCGCCCAGGGCAGGGAGGGGGCTTCGTGCAGAGACACTGCCTGGAGAAACTGCAGAGCCCCAAGCCCCCACCTATCCGGCTGGGGGCGCCCTCACCTTCCTGCCTCGGCACGGGGTCACACCCGGCTCCCATGTGGCCCCGTCATGCAGGCTGCCTGCAGAAGCTGCTTGGAAGCCCATTTCAGGGATGTACCCTGGTGTGTGTGCATGTGTCATGGGCCTGTCTGCCTGGGTGCCTGTGTTTTCATGTCTTCATGTGTGTGTCTTTGTACATGCATGTAGGACCATATGAATTCACATACCCTACGCACATGTCTGCATGGCTTCTTTGGGTGCTTCTGCAGGCAGAGCCTGGCGCGTGTGGGGACCCCCTGCAGGATGGAGATGACTGGATGGAGGTGGCCTTGGAGGTGCTGGGTCCTGCTGCCAGGGCCCACGATGGATGACTCCCCCTTTCTCCTGGCCGGGGGTTATATTACACCTTCTGCTCCCCAGCTCTTTATAGTTTCCATTATCATTGGCTTATCTGACATCTGCATTAGTTTTACTGTTTCTGCCCAACGCGCAGATGTCCCGAGGTCCGGGAGGTCACCTGTCTGGCCCTTCTCAGGGGCAGCATGATAGCTACTGCAGAGCACAATTTGGAGACCACGGTGTGGCCTGGTAGGGGAGGGCAGGAGGCCCGAGTGAGGATCCTGGGTTTCCATCCTGGTTTCAGCTCCCGCAGGCTATGCAGTCATGACCTTGTGCCTCAGTTTACCTGCCTGTAGGAAGGGCATGCTGATGGCAGGATTTTGGCAAGGACTCCATGCACAACTCACAGAAAGCATGGAGTGAGCCCTGACATCAGCCCTATGACCTGGGATCCCTGGGGCAGCTGGGGAGGTTTGGGGTACAGGCTCTTGTGCCCTGCTTCCTGGCAGCGTGGATCACCCTCCCTCTTGTGGGAGGGGCCATGGGGGGGCTCACTCAGGGGGTGACACAGAAGTGGACCACTGGAGAGTCTGTCTGGCCACACCGCTCTTCCCAAGCCGTATTCAGGCAGGCTGGCGGCTGTCCTGATCCCTGCTGAGTTCAGCAGGTCCCTCCCTTCCCCTCGGGCCACCTCACTCCACCAGAGGAGCTGGGGTCCACAGGGGACTCCAGCCTCTGCCCAGGGCATTCTAGGGTAGGTGCAGGAGGGGGCTCTGCCCTGTGCAGGCTCAGCCCCAGCCCTAGCCCCAGCCCCAGCCTCAGCCCCAGCCCCAGCCCCAGCCCCAG